AAGCCAGATTCACTTAACAACTACAACAATTCACTTAACAACTGTGGCAAGCAAGGTCATAAAATGGGGCCAAACCCATTAAACAAATGTCTCGCTTAGCCACAGAAATCTGGGGCTCAATTGTGGTCGTAAGTCGAGGACTACCTGTACTGTCACTGACCAATGCAGTACTGTGATGTTGCACTTTATGAGCATATTTCTTAGTGATTGCAGACCCAATTACCATTGTTAATCGAGGATGACCTCTATTGGCAAAATTTTAAAATGTACCAAAGTGTATATTTTAAGCATTTTGTTGCAAAAGAATGCTTAAATTAAATTGAGTAATGCTGTGATTTTTTAAAATGTAAATATAGACCTTAGTGGTTAACTATTTCTATTGTTCTTTGGGGAAAAAAAAAGGAATACAGACAACAATACCTTTAACAAGTTGGTCATTAAGTTCAAAACTTCTTCCTTCATTGGTACTACAGGAAAGTTGAACCATTCTAAAAGGCTGACAAATAGTAGCTTTTCTTGAACCAAATCATCATATGTAATCAAATTATGATTTAATTTAGATAGAATGTTCTTAAGCGCTCTTTCTCTAATTTCAGATAGCTCATGACCTGTTAAAAAATTTTTAAAAAGGGAAACATTGCAAAAGAAAATTATTTTTTTACATACACACACACACATTTTATAAACTGCAATCAATCTGCTGCAGAATGAAAGATCTCTTCATTGAACATAATTTAGCGCAGTGCAGGTGATAGGCAGATGTTTTTAACTTCCTAATCTAGGGCTGAGACAGAGTGATTGATCCAAAATTACCCAATGAGCTTCTGCAGCTATGGATAGATTAGAGTCTGTGTCTCCCCACTCCTAATCCAGCAATGTAACCATCAAGCCATATCTACTCTTGTATATGTGGTACCACACACATATTCACTAGCAGGTATTGCTTTGCATAAAATTAGTTAGTGAATTGATTTGTTGAACCGTCACACTGAAAATTTAGGATACTTTCTTAGGGAGATCAAGGCATGTGACTGTTCAACTTTCAACCATGATCTCATATATTCTATTCTTCTAAGCATTTCTTCTTCTTCTTTTAATATCAGGAATAATATTCTTTATTGTTAAAAGCTTTGATTACTGTTTTTGTCACTGCAATTTTTCCAGTTCCTGATAGTGTCAATATCCCTTTTAGTTTCCCCCTCCGTCTCCGTTCACTACATTCTAGCCAATTTTGTGCAGTTCTGCTGCTGCAACAATGTTAACACATTTACACTCTTATCCATTTTTCCTCTTTTTGGCATTCCCTTTATATATAGAATATTGTGAAGGGCACTTATCTATTTTGCGTGGTGGTTGGTGACTGTGTGCCGATGGGGATGGCAAACAGTCACCAATCAATCAATATGTATAAAAATATATGCGACTTTGAGAAGGGGTCGTATTGAGAATCTACCAAACTCAAAACCAAAAGTAGAGAAATAGAAGCGGAATATGTTACTTTTCTGCGTGCAACCAATAGATCCCCACTGGAGTTTGCACATCCTGACAATCCTGGATTGGGAGTTTGTGCGCAGCTAAACAGTGATTCGGGGCTACTTTTTTTCAACCCCAGAAGCAAACCCATTATCAACTTTTTTGGGATCCAAAAGCCAAAAAACAGCTTTCTGAGTAGGCTCACTGGCTAATCGGTGCGGACAAACCAACCAACCACTTACGAAGTTTCCGGATAAGCGGAGTCAACTCGATTGGGGGAGACGCCGCATTAACATTGCACCCAGCCATCGCGACCGCCTTCCCAGAGCGGCCCAGGTTCAACCGCCGCGCCGTAGGGAACGCGAATGCGCTCGGAAAAAGCGGGAGGCTATTTTCCAAGAGGCCGCTGGGAAATGTAGTTCCGTCTCTGGCTCCCCCGCCCGTCCGTTCTGTATATTCTCAGACGGGAGGCTCTTTACTGGAGATTATTTCGAGTGGTTGGGTTAATATCGCGAGTTTTGACTCGAGTCTTCCTAGTTGCCTAGAGAACAAGGCTTTCTCCCCCTCGCCTTCTGGAAGCGCCGCTTTTCCCTCGTCGGCTTTTTTAACTGCAAGGAGTTCAGTGAATCCGCCCGACTTTCAGCCTAGGTCTTCTCAATGGCGAAATCTCTGCCAGAATGGTTTCGGTCAGCGGGGTCTCCTCTAGGCAGGCAAGCAAGCCTATACACAACACTTTTTCTGAACCGTCACTAAACCTAAGACTTTGGGTCACAATTGACAGAATATAGAATAACGTTTCTTTCATGAAGTTGGTTCTATTTTCCAGACTGACTGGGAATTCTGGGAGTTGTAGTTGCGGCAATCTAGTGTAACGCAGTAGAGTCTATAACGCTTAACATATAGCGGGTGAAGCATTATTTCCACCACAGACCAATTTTTTACTTTCAGTTTCTGGCAGTAGCATTTATTCTGGCAGTGAAGTGCTTCCAGTAGTGTTTTGTGTGTGCGTGTGTATGTCCGTGGCTTTTCAAGCAGCACTGAAGTGTGTGTTGGAATCTAATGTATGGCTGGAAATACTTCGAAGTGCACATTTACGTGTGTGTGTGTGTGTTTTACCTCAATTCTTGGCTGTGATCACTCAACACATTGAACCACAAACTAATCGACCTTATTTCTAGCCTAGTATATTATACAAATCCAATTCATGAGATAAGTTTATTATTAGCTGCAATTATTTACTTGTCACCTGTCAATAATAATTTCAAAGGGGTTTAACTATACTGCTCAAAAAAAATAAAGGGAACACAAGCAGAAGATATCCGAGATCTGAATGAATGAAATAGCCTTATTAAATACTTTGTTCTTTACATACAGTAGTTTAAACACTGCTCCAACAACTAAAGGGAACACAAAACTACTGTATGTAACGAACAAAGTATTTAATAAGGCTATTTCATTCATTCAGATCTCGGATGTCTTCTGCTTGTGTTCCCTTTATTTTTTTGAGCAGTGTATATAAACAATTGTAAATAAAAATGTAACGTGATAAAACATTAGTAAACTTCTTAGGATCCCTTCAACAGAAGTATTAGAATTAAAGGCCCACTTGAAGGAAGAGATCAGCTAAACGATCTTGGATGATGATTTTTTCCCAACTTTCTCTCTGAATTGTATGCACCTTAGCCAGAAAACTGGATTAATAGTGACTACGTTAGTCATCCAAATGCAAACTTGAAGATTAAGAATCAGTCTTGTAATGAGAGACTAAGGAAGCTGAAAATCTTTAGCACCGTTATAAAATATAACAGAAAGGGGAAATGATAGCTGTCTTCTCTGCGATATCTCTTCAGAAACATCCCACAATAAATAATATGAAATTTTATAATAATCATAATATGAAATAATGGTTTTAAGTTACAGGGAAGACTTGGGTTGAATGTCAAAAACAGCTTTCCAACCAAAAAAAAATTACAAACATATCAGGAGGACATGAAATTAGAGATCACTATACAGGTAGTCCTCAATTTACAACTACAATTGAGCCCAAAATTTATGTTGCTAAGCAAAACATTTGTAAAGTGAGATTTGTCCCTTTTACAACCTTCCTTGCCACAGTTGTTAAGTTAGTAACACGGTTGCTAAGTGAATCTGTCCCCATTGACTTTGTTTATCAGAAGGTTGCGAAAGGTGATCACATGATCCTGGGACATTGCAACTGTTATAAATATGAGTCAGTTGCCAAGCGGATGAATTTTGATCAAAATGACCATGAGGATGCTACAACTTCAAACAGTCATTAAACGAACTGTTGTAAGTTGAAGAATATCTGTATTAGTGGACTCTGTGGCTAAAAAGTGTTTGTTTTCTTTATATAATGTTCAGAAAATGGGAAATATGTTATTCATTTGAGCCTCATGTTCATGACTTGAAATCTGGATCCTCCCAGAAGCAGCTGTTTTAAGTTCACAGGAAGTTGAACTGAAACAACAAAATGAGCTGGAATCTCATATGCAATAATATTTCCCATATTCTAATAATTTCATAAATTTCTGAAGAAAGAAAGCAAGAAAAGGTCTATTTTATTGAGTGGCTTCTGACTCGTATAGGCACAGCAGGGCTTTTTCCCCCTAAATGTAATAGTAAGAATTGCCACACTACTGATGTATAGCTTTTAAACTTGTGTTATTTATATTAGAGAATGAATACAAGAAAGGCATTTTAATGAGAGCATTTGGTCAATAAAAGTTTAACTCTCATAATTTTCAACTTCCATGGCTGGAATTATGGGAATTATAATCTAGCATATCTAATGGGTACAAAGTTTCATTAAATGTTTTCTTTTTTAGAAATTACCAGGATTCCAAGCAGTATTTATCTAGTTCTTAATATTCAAGATGCTGAATTATAAAATGTTTATTTGAACAGCAAACTGTCCTTTACCAATTGTACTCAAATTAATTTTGAAATTGGGTTTCAAAAGTAGTTTGTTATGTAGTGGGTGATATACTCAAAGGAAAACAGTTTCTAGTTAAACAATATAAAAACACTATTAGAATAATAGTGTTGAATTGTGCAAAGCAAATAACATTTTAGAAGCCACAGTATGGCTTTTGAATGAAAGTAAAATACTGTTAATGTAATAAAATAATTCCATATCTCTAATTCACTGAATTTAGAGATTGCTGATTGCTATTTAGAATAAATCATGTGATGATATTTTTTGCTATATTTTGTCTAACCATTCATGTATCCAACAGTTCACTGCAAAGCAATCATTACAGAAATTGAGCAGTATTTTCTTCCTATCACCCTTTTCCATCTTTGGGGAAGGCTTAGAGGGCATGTATGGGAAGGGTACACCCCTGCCTGCAGAAGAGCTTTAAGTGTAAACACCCACACCTTGCAGTCCTATGTTTACTCTAAACTATCTGCTGGTGAGCAAGTATTTAAGACCAAATTCTTCAAATTGTATGATATTGGTAGCTTATATTTCTACATCTTGCAGGTATATTATGCATAAAAATCCATGTCTCATAGCCTCATGTCCAGAATAAGAAGTGATAAAATATTAACAGACTTTATACATCATGAATCTAAGTAAGGGTAGTGTAGACTTAAAGAGGTAAATACTGAACTTATATTGGTACATTTAATTATGACTTTAGAGTATCTTATTGCCGGACTGGGATAAGATAAAAGCAATGTGATGCAAATAAAGGGGATGATTGAATTTGTTAGGATATGATTAGTCTGTAAGGAAGGGCCTGAATCAAAAACAGCCAGACTTCTGTACAACCTGTCAAAGGGCATTTGTCCCCTAGATAGAAGTTTTCGTAAATTGCCCTGAAAATGTAATTTTCTAGTTATGTATGAATTAAGATTATTGTTTTGCTAGAAACACTATAGTCATATGAGACTGAATGTTCTGTGTTTTAAGAGCAATGCTGTTTGCTATCAGCTGCCAGTCAGATGATGATTCAGCAGATCCAGGACATAAAGCCAGATCTAGCAGAGAGCCATAAGGCAACTGAAGTCTTGTGATTTCATTCTTAATTGCCTTGAACAGTTGGATTTGATTGCCCTTTTATCATCTGCAAGTTCTGAATGGCCATAAAATGTACTATATGGTAAATGTAAGTTAAGTTTAAGATATTTTGTAGGGTAAGATAACAACATATGTCTAAATTATTTATTTTCTGTATATTTTTATAGTATTAACATGGCACAGTTTCAGCATTTTTATAGGCAAGGATTTAAGTTATAGGCAAGGATTTAAGTTGTGATGTAATCTTGCTTTTTTCTGAATTCATGGGTCATTTTTATATTTATTTTGGATCAATAAAAATTAATAATAAAATAATGATCAGTTTTATTGTCAATAATTTGAATTTTACCTAACTATTTACTGGTTAGGTCTTCATTCAGAAAGCAATCTTAGTTTGGGATAGGTTGTTTGCTTCCTTGCTTGCTTATGTTATGTATGTATGTACTATATGTATATATGAGGCCTCAGTGCTGACTTTATGATGTCTTGACTGCAAATCTATGAATGACCACTGGAAGTCAGTAAAAAGATACAGACAACTCTTAGTTGCCATCTAGTGGACATTTAAGGTTTTGAAGGTCAAATTTATTCTATGCCATCTTTCAAAATACTGTTCTTGCAGACAGATATAACTTTAAAAATACTGGTATTTAAAATATTAAGGATGGTATCCAGCATATACTAGTGGATTACTGCAATAGGACATCCACCTATGTAAGTAAAGCACATGGGGAATGAAACTAGAAAAAACATTTTCCCTTCTAGTTCCATAAATGAAAAGTGCTTCCATTAAAAGAAGTATCTAATGGCCATTAACAAAAACAGTTACAACAGTTTAGTCTGAATATATCCAGGGAGAAAAAAAAAAATAGGTTGAGAACTTCGAACATATCAGTAAATCTTCATTTGGAGCAGCCGAAGCCTACTTTATAATACCCAGAGACAGATTCACACAACATAGTATCGCCTGGTTTGTTACTGAAACCATGGTTTGTGCTTTAATGACTTGTATAAATGCAGTTTATTGCAGTGTATTTCAAACCATAATTAAACCGTGATGGAGCATGATGAGAGATACCAGTTATATAGTTTACTCCCCCAGAATATAGAAATTCATTTGATGCCTTTATGGTCTTATTGGCTAAATTATGTGAGCAGAATTTGTTTGCTGCAGATGGATAAGGCTTTCTCTGCACTTTTGTCAATTTTACATTCAAGAATCAAGAATTAATTTTTAAATTTCAGTTTGCAATATATTCCAACATAATACAACAAAAGTATGGCATTATATGTTTTATTACCCATTACTATTGTTGAATTATGTTACTTTGCTCACATTTAATACTCTTTAACTGCTTTAGGTTTTTATTTACATTTTGTTGTTGAAACAACAATCATCTGAGAAAGCTGAAATAGCACCACTGCAGAACCATTTGCATGACTAACAAAGAAGAGTAGTGAATGCTCACAAATAGCATTGTTTGTTAATTTGTAATGTGGCAGTCACATATAATGGAATCTGACCTCTAAGGGTAAGAGGAATTGTCCATATGCCATTCCCAGAACCAGAAACAAAAGATCCACACATAAACTAAAACTGCTGTTAAATGGTTATTTCTAAAAGAACAGCTTGTTCTTCATTTCTTTGTTTATCTGATTTTTTTTCAAAACTCAATTTCAGTGTAGCAACATTGCTTACTGAAAAATAGTTGCTGTTATCCTCCAAACTAAAATTGAAGCAGAGGGAAATTAGCCAATGACATATCCTGCCCTTGTAAGATAAATGTAATTACAAAATAGATGCCAATTTTTAACTCAAGGATAAAACTAAGAAATTTGTATTTCGCCAGGAGATAGACATTTGAATTATGACAGATTTAAATTGTAATGATAGAACATTGTTCTAATGAAGAATTAGCTGTATTAAAGAACAAGCTTCTGTATATTGCATGCTCTTACTCTAGTTGTAGGATGCTTCTTTTTTAGTATAGCATTTTCTTTTCCAACTGATCAATGTATGAAATGGAGGTAAACATGAGCTCCATATACCTCTCCTTTGCATTTTATAATCTCAGGATGTGACTTTCACTGTTTCATGGGTAACAGTTTGGTGAAAAATTAATATGTCCTTATTTTTAGATAGCATTTGCTTTATCTGGAATGGTTCAAATCCAATAATGTTTTTCTATATAATATAAGCATGGTGTTTAAGTTCAAAATTTCAGAAATCAAAATACTTTGACATACTGCAATATTTTTCTACCATTTTCATTAGTACATTATTACTAGACTGTTGTAATGAATGAGAAGTTACAATAATCTAACATGACACAATATAGTTAATAGACACATAAAATGTATTTAAAACACCTAAAAACTTTTGAAAACAACACCTCGATAAAACTTGTATAATATGAATCCCTGTATGCTAGTATTAAAATAAGCATTGTATTTATCTTGCTTTTGCATACATCACCTTAATAGATTTGCTTCCATGAATTGTCCTACCTTCCAGCTCCAGAAGCCTTTGAACAAAGACATAAACTGAATCTGCATTAATACAAGGAATTCTTTATGGGAAACTAATGCACACTCTGGCTATGTGATTCAGTAATGTTAAAGGGGCTAGTGGCATCAAGTGTTGGTACTAGATCATTAATCCCTAAATTCTGGAGTTGCATTATACATCTTACTGGTAAAAGTATGTGATCAATAATATACCTTTTAAAGCCATACATATCATGGGACCAGGTTATTTGAAAGGCTACCTATTCCCAATTACAACTACCTGCCCCACCAGATCAGGAAGAGGAGTGCATGTTATGAGTCCTGTCTGCTAAAGAGCTCCATCTGATGGGATCCAGGAGACATGTCTTTTCTGTTGTGGCTCTTGCCTTCTGGAATATCATTCTCTCACAGTAAGGTTAGTCCCATCCCTACCAGTCTTCTGGAAAACCCTTAAAATATGGTTTTTCCAGCAACCTTGGGGATCCCATAAAAATAGAGAATCTGCACAAATACCCAATGAGTCATAATTATAAAATATTATTTCGTTAGCACTTTTTATTTTTGTGTCCCCTAAAAAATGTTCTGGAAATACAAAATCTCCTGCTGGCTCTATGGCAGCCCTTTCATTAGTCCTATTTATAATGCAAAATAAAAGATTGTTACAAGGAACAAAATTAGACGAACTAAAATTAGGAGGTGTAATGCTTAAAGCACTCTTCATAAAGCCATAGTATACATAACTACACCCCACCAATGTTCTGAAAAACAAGCACCGTCATCTACTGATACTTGTTGATGAATTTATTTATTTATTTATATTGTCGCATTTCTATGCCGCCCAACTCCCAAGGGACTCTGGGCGGCTAAATTCTTTGGGTGGAGAATTTATCTCCATTAAAATTATACATGAAAAATATAGAAAATTTTTTGGACACAACAGTTTTTTTCTCTAGAAACACAGACATGCACTTATGAACTTAAATAAATATTGTATAAGGAGGTTCAGATAATAGTAACTGCAATAAAAGGTGTTACTACTGTCTGTCTGTCTGTTTTACCTATCTTCAGGATTTAAATCCTGCCTGTCTTCTTCCCTTACATGGCACCATACTTTTGCTGCTTTGGGTTTTCAGGGTACTTTTATAATATTCTAATAATAGCCTTGTTTGATTTCAGATTTCCAGCTTTGCTGGCTTCATCCTTTACAAAAATAGGAAGGGATACACACAAAAAAACCTTAACAGGGATCTTATATGGACTATCCTTTTCCATAAAATTGCATAAGACATGATGATAGCTTATTAAATCTCTCATCTGGAAGCATTGTAAGTAAAGAGTACCACATGTTTTAATGTTTTTTTTAGGTTAATCCATGCAAGACTTCTAGTTATCTTTTGTATTCTTTCCTAAAACACAAAGTTACATGTGGTTTTAATGGATTTTCATAAGACAATTTTATAGTCCATGCATTGAGGATATTACAGTGAAATTATCATATTACTTACTTATATTCATATTCCTGGCATGATAGTCTTGAAATGAAACAACATGTGAATATTTGAAATTACTTCATAATTCATTAGAATTTAAAAGAATTTAAGACATATGAAAGTGAAAGTTAAATTTGCACATTCTTTTTTCCTTATCAGAAAGAATCCCGTTTTTATTTCTTGGGAACCTAAGCATTGAAGAATATGAAATTCCACTGATGGAATTTTAGATACATGTTTTGAAAACAAATATTTATGAAGATATCAAAAGATACCAATAGATCTTGCAACTTTATAACTGAACAGTCTTGATATACCGGTATATATTTTAGCCATTCTACCTTTGTAGGTTTTTTTGTACAGTATGTCCTCGGTTTACAACCACGATTGAGCTCAACATTTCTATTGTTAAGCAAGACAGTTGTGAGTTTTGACCCATTTTATGACCTTTTCTGACACAATTGTGAAATGAATCACTGCAGTTGCTAAGTTAGTAACACAGTTGTTAAGTGAATCTGGCTTCCCCATTGACTTTGCTTATCAGAAGGTCGCAAAAGGTGATCACATGGCCCTGGGATACTGTAATTGTCATAAATACATGCAAGTTGTCAATTGTCTGAATTTTGATCACATGACCATGCTGTTGCTGCAATGATCATAAGTGAAAAAAGGTCACAGATCACTTTTTTAGTACCCTTGTAACTTCAAATGGTCACTAAATGAATGTAAGTGAAGAACTACCTATAGCTTGGCTCCTTTTTTTTTTCTTTTCTATAACAATTTTGTATTTAGGAAATTCTAGCTTTGGAAATGATTTATTTCAACTTTGTTTCAAGGTTTGAACGCTACCTATTATAAATTGTAAGTTATTGTAAGTTATTTACTTATATAAATTGTAAGTTATGGTGATGTCAAACTGAGAATGTCTACTTATTTCAGTTTTTCTAAATATAAGATTGTAAATTAATGTCCAGTGTATTGTAGTGTACAGTCTGCTTCAACAAATTAAATTTGCATTGACAATTGATGTTTTAATGATGATTTATTAGGATGATTCCTCTTTCTGTATTTCATTCTCACTAGAAAATAT